AAGTTACACATACATCTACATCGCAAAATGAGATAAGCTACTGATAAAACATAAGAGGATTAAGTTTGTTACCTCTAAAATCGAAGAGCAACACCAATGGAGGGGGAGAGAGCAAGAACAACAGCAAGCTGAAGAACAGAGGCAGTGAGTTTGAATGGAATGGCTCGGGCTCGGGCTCGGGAGGAAGAAATGAGCCGTTGTATAGGCCCGCATAAATAGTCCCGGTTAGGTGGCCAAACCGGGACTAAAGATTAATATTTATTCCCGGGGTATCACCCAAACCGGGACTAAAACCTTTAGTCCCGGCTGGTAATACCAGTCGGGACTAAAGGGTCCTTTAGTCCCGACGGCAAAAAATGCCGAGCCTAATACCAAATTGAGACATCGTTCTAAAGTCTGTTCTCTGGTAGTGAATCTTTGTATTGTGCTTATAATGAATAAAATTCTTCCCGTTTCAAAACACACGTCACACAAGGGATCAATGTTCCACCTGGACCAACAGGAATATATCTTCAGCATAAAGAAACAGGCAAAATGAATCGACGATCCAGAGATAGGACACAGGAGTACCGTGTAGTATCGGTTGAGGAGTACTGTACATGGCCTCGCTCTCTATAAAGCCCTAATTATAATTAAATGAAGAGGCAGGCAGGTTGTGCCATGTTCGTTTGGTTGATAAGTCATGGCTAAAAGTACGATGGACTGATTTGTTGTGAAAGAAAAATATTGTTCGTTGGCTGAAAAAATACGACTTATAAGTTCAACCAATATAACGGCCGGCCTGCAGGCAGCAGGCCCCTTACAGCAGGTCATCAGTGCTCTTGATCAGAATCTGCAAGCTGTTTAAGTTCTGTAGATATGCTGCAATCATTATTACATTCTTTAATTGTCCATGGATGCAAATCTATCCAAGAAAAGAATAGTGCTGATGCGCGCAGATTGTTTGCATTGTGGTTGGGCCCTACACTACGTACAAAACAGCTAATAACCCATTGAATTCGGTTTAATTTTGATTCAATTTGAATGAGCAGCAGTCAGTATCTACACTAGTAGTATAATTTAATATAATTAAGCTGGCTGCTGCTTCAATGTGCATATGTATATCGCCCGTTGTCAGTTGGGGCATGCATGCAACTGCTATGATGGTGTATATATACTTCCCAAAATAAATATAATTTTAGAACCAGACACACAAACCAATACTATGTGTGAGATTACAAAAATGCCCCTAGTTTTTTTTAACGAGTGGGTGTGTTGCTGGCTGTTTTTTTTTATTTATTTTTTTGCGAGAAGCATCTGGAGTCTTTTATGACAGATGGGTCAAAGTAGTATTTTTTGTGGGACAAATTTTAAACTCTAGAGTTACAATTATTTTAGGACGAAAGATACGTCTGTATGTATATAAAAATGAATCACACAATCAATCGTATACTGTACTTAAATAAATACCACCACCAATCATGCGTGCCGCCGGCCGGCGCATGTATGCATGGATACCATCCACATGCATGTGCGCTAGCTAGCTCTCTATTATCCATCATCATCAACTTAATGATGATTGCAAACGATCATTAACCGACTCCAGATGTTTGTGTGTTTTCTATAAAGTTAAACAGTCTAGTTTAAAATAAAGCCAAAAGATTTATAGTTTAGAACAGAGAAAGTATACACTACTCCATGTATTATCAAGTCTAAGGAAAAAGTAAATTAAGAGATTTGGCGTGTGGCCCAACGGAAGGCGTGATCGTGTGGCTTTTCAGCAAAGGCAGGCGTGCGTATAGTAGTTTCTAGGATGTACTAGTACTTGCCGTATTTCAAGGATCTAAATACATTATTTTATTTTATATATAATGGGAGGCCGGCCATTTGCCACTCAACCGTAGTGTACCGGCTACTACTAGAAGTCTACGTACGTACACAGTTTCATTATTAACACTGTCTTCGTTTTAACTATAAGCTGTTTAAATTTTTCTAAATACATTATTTTTATTATACATCTAAATACATATAAAAATCAGAACGGCTTATTTTACTGTTAGACAGATGAACGATGATACAAATACAAATAACAAAATTACTTTTTATTTGGTTGCACTGCAATTAACGGCACATGAACGATGATTATACAAATACTACGAACAACAGGCAGTCAGGCACGCTAGCTGCTGCCGCTGGGTTGCTGACCCTGAAGAAAGTGGAACTTTCTGGAGCTCACGCGACCACGCCATTATGCATGGACCGCCGGATCGCCGCAAGGCACAAAATAAAGTTTGCGAGTGAAGGGACGGGCGGGAATGCACGGCCAAACTGCAAAGCAAGTACAAAAGTCCTAGCTAGCGCCACAACAACTCTCTTCCGTTCTTTCCTTGTGCACCGCAAAAGCAACGCATCAAAACACAAAGCTACACAAGTAGTAGGACTATAACTAATAAACGATACTCCATTCATCAGTAAATTATAAGCCATTCTAATTTTTTAAAGATCGAGTCATAGCATTTTAAGTTTGATCATGTTTATATAATAAAATAATAATATTTATGATACCAAATAAGTATCATTAGATTCTTCATTAATTATATATATTTCAAGTTTTTATAATTCTCTTTATAATTTTGATCAAACTTAAGAAATTGAGCACAATGTTGCACAAGCGACGACGTGTGTTGTACAACAATCCTCGATATGCACCCCTCCAGGCATAGACCCGGTTTAGAACCCTATCTCGTCCTCTTTTCTTCTATCTGTGCCGCTTCCATGGAAAGCAAAGGGTACTACAAATTGGGATGAAAACTGTACGGATATTTTCGGACCGTATTCGAGACCAAATCCGTTTAGAGAGGTTTAGATATGTTTGTATCCGAATACTAAAATCATATTTTTATGATGTCGATATCCAATCGTATCCTATCCGACATGGTTGACACTATCCGTGTTCGAATCCGAATCCGGACAGAAATATAAAAATAAATATAATATCAGTGATATCTGTGTACGATCTGTTTTCATCCCTAACAACGCACGGAGAGAACAAAGACAGCGAACAGACCCCGCGCCCAAGCTATAGCGCTGGTGATGACCTCTAAGCATACGCCCGTGGAAATGGTTTAAAACTGGTTGTGATGAAGATTAGTATGACTGTCCACTTTCACCGCCAAAGAGCAAAACCAACGATGAACGCCATTTTAGACCTGGTGGTGATGTTGTTTCTATACCAGCGAAGAAAGGGCCCAGGCCAAGGCCCCGAAGCACGTGGACGTGATACAATCTAGTTCGTCGGCCGCCATCATGACGACTCGGGGATATAGCGCAGCCTGGCATGGGCGCCACCACGTATGGTGGCAGCCCGACTTTCATGATGAGGACAAGCACGGGGAGGTATGCATATCTTTTGCTTGACGTTGGTGACAATGAAGGTGATTGGGGCAATAGGATTTGCCGCCTAAACGGTGGAGCTACGTATCGATTGAGATCGATCTCTCTGAGGGTGCACGGTGCAAAAGCGAGTAACATCAAGGGTTAAGATGTAAACCTAGACTCATCTTACCTTGTGGGAGGAAAAGAATTAGATATGATTGATTGATTCGCATTGAGCCCTGTGAGGCGGTATATATAGAGTTTGTACGCATGACTTGGCGATCAAACTGCTCACCCGATAATAATCCCAAAGTGACTCTATTCTAATTGTGATATGTGATAAGAGAGAAGGGGATTGAGGGGATCGGAGGGGGGTGTCTACGAAATTAATGGCCTGTTGTCGTCGTCGTCGAGACGTGGCACGGTGTCGCGATGGTGAAGGATGGCAAATTGCCAACGGAGGATGCACGAGGCTACTAGGTACTTGCTGGTTTGCTCGGTCCCGGTCATAACGGTCGGCGGGGTCGGTGGGTGTGGGTGGGGTCCTTGTTGACCTGTGCTGACGGACGGTTGCGTGTTGTGTTGTCAGGTGTAGGAATAACTGCCGAACCGTTTTCATGCTGATGATGCCGATCGATATGCATGCATGTCCCATGAATCAATCAATATATCAAACCAACCCATGCCGATCGATTTCTGACTCTCCATAGAAATTTCCTCCCTTTCGCCATCGAGCCCTGCCTTGCCTTGCCGTCCAAAGTACAATCCACATGCCTCATCCTGTCATCCATATCTTATCTGCTTTTGGTAATCTGCAACGCAGGTTTCAGTTCACACGCATTGAGCAGCAGGTTAATCTGCATGCATCACCGGGGCACCACCGGCACCGCCCATGCATTATTGTCAACCCGTTGCTACCTGGCCGGACGCCATCCATCCGTCGGGCGTTACTTTGTCCTATCAAAACGTACCACGTGCCCCCATATATATCCATGGAACATCACCCACCTCTCACATGTTTCCACACGGACATGCCTGATTGGCTGCTCATGCCGTCAAACCCTGCATGTTGTATGCACGGAGTACAATTTATTACTGTGTAGCTGAACCGAAGAAGCTGCACCACAGCCGGTAAAAGCTACAACGAGCATGACTCTATGGCACCCGTAACGATTGGCTCATAAGTTAACTCTAAGCATTTTTTATATTTTAATAAAAGATATAGAAAAAATAGCTCTTGATCATGCATGTAACGTCCTAGGTGTTAGGCTTGCACTTTTGCACTTGCACTGCATGAGCCTGAACCATCCCCCGTAGCAGTACCCTAGGTCCGGGCGGTTGCGTTGCCGTTGCCGATGCGGCTATATATGAGATGGAGTTGCGCCGGAGCGGTTTGCCAAGCAAAACCATCCCCCATAGCTCCTCCCTCCAAACAGAACAGGCTACACGGACACGGCAGTGCAGTCTAGTCTAGCCGATCGGGGTTTCATCCGTTCCTTCATTCTCTGATTCCTCTCAATCCTCTCCAAAGTGGAGAAGAGGAGATTTGAGTAGGACTAAGTTAATTAGCAGGCGAGGCGAGGCATCCCAATCCCATCCGAGGAAGGAAGGAAGGTAGGAAGCAAAAAGTAAGGAAGGGGACGACGATGGTGTCCGCCGTGCTCCGGACCATCCTGGTGACGGGCGGTGCCGGGTACATCGGCAGCCACACGGTGCTGCAGCTGCTGCAACAGGGCTTCCGCGTCGTCGTCGTCGACAACCTCGACAACGCCTCCGAGGTCGCCCTCGTCCGCGTCGCCGAGCTCGCCGGCCACAACGGCGCCAACAACCTCGTCTTCCACAAGGTAGGTATCCATCCATCCTGCGAATTCCAAATTCCATTGCCTGGCTGATTTCATCCTCTTGGCTTGTCATCTCATCACCCTCCTGCTGTGCTGTGCTGCTGCCCGTGAGATCGATTTTAGTTTCCGTTGTTTGGATTGGATTGGATGTTCGCCTCTCGACTCGACACACAGAAGAAAGAATCAGTGGATTCTCGTCGATTGCATTGCTGGGATAGATGATTCGATTCCCTTCCTTTCCATTCCATTATTTGTTTAATATCAATCATTATTTCCTTCCCATCCGCAGCCTCTGAGCCTGAACCTGCCTGCCTAGTAGAGTATAGTTGTTATTTTCATTCATAATTTGATTTGATTTCCTGCCAACATCACACACACACACACACACACACACGGAGACAGAGAGGACTATTTTCTTCTATTCTACTACTAGCATCCATCATCCGTCCCTATTGGCTGCTGCTTGATGGCTTGGGTTTACAACAGAGCAGTGCACAGCGAGCTCTAAGCTGTCAGTCCATGGCCGTTATCGGGGTAGGGGTTGAGGTGGGTGGGTCACGCCACCCATCGTTCTCCTGTACTACTTTCATGTAGCAGCAGCAAGGGGATGGGAGGGAAGGCCAGCAGCCAACAGGCAAGCAGCGGCCATGTGACAGATGAGATGCGTGCCACAGCATACGCGTCGCTTTCTTTGCTTCCGGAATACCTGCTTTGCTGCTTCCTTTTTTTGCCTGGTTCCAAGCCAAGCTCCCTTTTTCCTTGCTGAAAAATGATGATGAATCTTCACAGTTACCCCCGCGCGGACGACTCAGGTAGACATGGCCACGATTAGATGAATCTTCACAGTTACCATCCTGCCTCTTCTGCATCTGCATGGTTCCATTCATTCTTTCATCCATTCGTCCAATCCAAAGAGCAGTCGCAGTCAGTAAATAAACTATACATTATGCGCGCTAAACTATACACTTAAACTGGACTTCTCATCATAGCATAATAAATAAAATAAATAATGCCTGTGCCCCCCACCCTGCACTGCAGGTTGACCTTCGCGACAGGCACGCTCTGGAGGACATCTTCCTGTCCCACAGGTACTGTAGGCCACAACGCTGCTGTCCCCTTCCATTTCACTTGTAGTAGGACTAGCTCTGTAATAATGATTTGCAGTTGGGATTGAGTTGGGATTCAAACCAACCATTAATGATTTGCAGTACTCGTAGTTTTATTCACCTCTGCTGTTAGTTTATTGTATAGTACTGTGCCACTAGTTTTATATTAGTACTATATTATTACCACAGTTAACTGTCAGCTGTACCTGCCTGCCGAATCTACCGCTTTGGGACTTGTTTAGACGTCAAAAATTTTGGTAAAATGGCACTGTAGTTTTCGTTGTTATTTGACAATTAATATCCAATCATAGTCTAATTAGGCTTAAAAGATTCGTCTTGTGGATTTCGTCTAAACTGTGTAATTAGTTTTATTTTTTATTTATATTTAATGCTTCATGCATGCGTCCAAAGATTCGATGTGATAGGGAATCTTGAAAAATTTTACAAAATTTTTTGCAACTAAACTGGACCTTGCTTTGCTTGCATTCCCATAGGTGTCAATTAAATGATTGGATTTAGTCGAAGGTTCCAGCCCTGCTGGAAAGCAAGCTATTTCCGTCGAGTTCTTGTGCTGCATGTCTTGATTCATTCACAGCAAACCACAGCTCACCTTAGCTCGGCTGTCTCTGATGTTCACTTTCTCGGCACCGCCGGGGCAGCTATTGTTGGTCATTGAAATATTGACAATTTCCCTTCGTTCCCTGACTTATCACGCCTACTTCCAACTGTGGCCGCAGGTTTGAGGCTGTCATTCACTTTGCTGGGCTCAAAGCTGTTGGCGAGAGCGTGCACAAGCCCCTGCTTTACTACGACAACAACCTCATCGGCACCATCACCCTTCTTGAGGTGATGGCTGCACATGGCTGCAAGAAGGTAACAACATACTTGTTTCTTGTTCCAGACGGATCGATCAAAAGCCCTGTTCGCTTGGCTGATAAGTCGTGGCTAAAAATATTATTGGCTGATTTATTGTAAGAGAAAAATAATGTTTGTTGGCTGAAAAAATACGGCTTATAAGTCAAGCGAACGGGGTGGGCTGGCCCTGCAATTTCGGGCACTCACTCGTATTTTTTTTGCTTTGCTTTACAACTTGCTTTTATTGACACCGCCTACTTTCCATTGCATCTGCATTTGCCCTGCTAGGGCTCATAGGATACTATGGGCTTGTTCGCTTGAACTTATCAACCGGCTTATCAGTTAGAATCTACAGTATTTTTCTCTCACAACGAAACAGCTTCAGTCGGCTTTAATACCAGTCGAACCGCCTCCATACCGGTGCCCTAGCTTGCTTCTGGACCAGGTGCTCCTGCCCTTTTATTGTTGTCTGCCAGCAAACTAAATGTAACGCCTTGTTTAGATGCCATCCAAATTCCAAGTTTTTTCACTCTCTCTCCATCACATCAATTTTTAGCCGCTTGCATGGAGTATTAAATGTAGGTAAAAAAAATAACTAATTACATAGTTTAGTTGGAAATCACGAGATGAATCTTTTGAGCCTAGTTGGTCCACGATTGGACAATATTTGCCAAATAAGACGAAAGTGGTACTATTCATCGGGTTCACTTTTTTTGCAAAGTGAACGAGGCCTAAATTTATGTCATGGAGAAGCCTAGCCATGCACGCATGCATGCCATCCGTGACAAAATCTTTAATGTGATGGTCCCAGATTCTGCTGCTTATTCGTTTGGTTCTCTCACACTAAATCAGCCAATAATATTTTTAGTCATGGCTTATAAGCCAAACAAGACCGCCATGTCCTAGCCATCCGTTCGTCTTGCGTTTTCTGGCTCTTGGGCCAGTGTTCTGCAATGATATTTTTCCCCCGGTACAATACGGACCACGAACTGCAAAATGACCATCCTTGCTACAAGGCTACAAAGCACATAATTGTTCATAGTACTTGAGCCCTCATTTGTCATTTCAACTTAGATTCAGTGTCTCGCATTAATACATCAGGAGCCTGAGTAAAATGTGTGCATCATGCATCATTGTGTCTGGAGGCTAACTGAACATGCTTCCTTGTCATCACAGCTGGTGTTTTCATCATCTGCAACTGTCTATGGGTGGCCCAAGGAAGTGCCATGCACTGAAGAATTCCCACTTTGCGCCACCAACCCTTATGGACGGACCAAGGTTCCTTTTGTTCTTAAAAAAAAAATCTTGGACCAATACTGCTTTCTGTGGTTTATTAATGATCATCTATTGATTACATAATATATGATGATACGGTGCTGCAGCTTGTGATTGAAGATATCTGCCGCGATGTCCACCGTTCAGACCCTGATTGGAAGATCATACTGCTCAGGTACTTCAACCCTGTTGGTGCTCATCCAAGCGGATACATCGGCGAAGACCCCTGCGGTGTCCCAAACAACCTGATGCCCTATGTTCAGCAAGTCGCTGTTGGGAGGCTGCCTCACCTCACGGTCTATGGAACCGACTACAACACAAAGGATGGTACTGGGGTACGTGCGTACTCTATTGCTTGCTTCTGCTCTGTTATTGTCTAATTCTATGTACTTAATTAGGGAGTTCAGAAACTCAGCTCGTTACTGAAAAAAAATCTATATAAAACTGGCAGGTGCGTGATTACATCCATGTTGTTGACCTGGCTGATGGCCACATAGCAGCCCTGAGGAAGCTCTATGAAGACTCCGACAAAATAGGTAAACAAGAAACATTCTTGCTACTTCACCACTGGCTCCCAGTTGTTGTTAATTCTAAATTACACCAGACAACTCAGCTGTTGCGTATTCAAGCAAACAGATGAAGCTTGCTAATGATAAAATATACTAATCTGTTGGTTGTAATGCATCCAGGGTGTGAAGTATACAATCTGGGGACAGGAAAGGGGACATCAGTGTTGGAAATGGTGGCTGCATTTGAGAAGGTTTCTGGGAAGGTAGAAGTTCATATATTTAAACCATCATGCATGCATGTCTTTGCTGAATGATGTTCAGTTACTATACATTGATGATTGATTCCCGACCAACTGATTGACTGACGGGCTGATTCTGCCTATACAGAAAATCCCTCTGGTGTTTGCTGGGCGAAGGCCTGGAGACGCAGAGATCGTCTATGCGGCAACTGCCAAGGCAGAGAAAGAGCTCAAATGGAAGTAAGTATGCTGCTGGTACTGGTTGATGGGTTCCGCATGGCATCGCTCGATCCTAACGAGAACAATATGAAAATCTTGCAGGGCAATGTACGGGGTCGAGGAGATGTGCAGAGATCTGTGGAATTGGGCAAGCAAGAACCCCTACGGCTATGCTGGATCACCGGACAAGAGCAACTGAATCACACATCCATCCATCCTGCAGTAGTAGAAAGCAGCAAACTGAGATGCTGCAGCCTATATATACTTACTAGCATTATTAGTAACTCGTCATATATATGTTATATATATAGTCAGTCATCGTATTATGGAGCCTGCTGAGTATTATTATAATTATTATCTATACTAATCCGACGGGTGATGATGCGATGGGCCTCGTTTCTTCATTTTGTATATATAAGAAGAGGGAGGAGTAGGGGGTGATGGGTCCCATCTCATCCATTCATCTTGTTGTTATTCTTTTGTTACCTTACCGTTCGTATATGGTATATTATTTGATTGTTAGGCCTGTCTGATATTACTCCATGGTTGGTTGCCCTAGAAAAGAAATAAACCTCATGCATATCTCTAATTATAGAACATACTGTGCCTGTCTCTGATATCTACTCAATGATACGATATTCTTGGCTCGTTGCTGTCGTGAGCTTCTGGTTCACTGTCATTGGTGTCAAATATTAACGTGTCCCTGCGTGATCTCTCAAGTCTCAGCTCAGAGCTGCTACTCTGAAACAAAACTCGTGTAAAATCCATGCGCTCCAAAATAAGCCTCACTAAAATCCTTGGAACCAGAAGGCGCAACTAAAATCCTTCCAAATTGCTCTGCTCTGCTCTGCACCGTAATTCGCAAAGCAATTTCGAAATTGTCTGATTCTTCAATTCGCTTGCATTTCAGACTCCCCGAGATCCACTGGAGCAAAGTTAAAATAGACCGCAGTACATGTGAATAGCAGCCTTTTATTTAATTAATTACATTTTACCAACAAACACAATTAACTGAGCATATTATATAGAGATAGTAAGATAGTCAGAATGTTGTTTTATACTGTGAGAAAAATATGGATACGATGAGCATAAAAGCACGAGATTTAGGCCCTATTGGGTGCGGCTTTAGCTCCCTGTAGTGAAGCTATAAGCGAGGAGCCAGCCGAAGCTACTTTCACGTGCTTTACTGACTTAACCTGTTGCTAGTTCATTTTGCCCTTTTTTTAAAGATAAAAAGAGCTCCGCACTGTAGTTTTTTTTTAATAAAGAACGGCAAATGCTTTGTCATAGATTTTATTAGACGATAAAAAGAAGAAAAAAAAGAGCTTTACAAAAATATTTACAGACTCCGCGCTGTAGTGCATACTAGTTTTTTTTTACTATAGCAAGGTGACGATTGAAACCAAAGACCCCTTAGTGATCTTATAAAGATATAATTCACTACATATTAAAAAATACTACAAAGAGGAGACTGTATGGTTTGTGCAAGAAGATAAAACAGAATTAAACGGGACAACAATTGAGGTAGATACCTGATTTTTTTTTCTCTTGCTAACATCAACACGTAGGGAAGAGAGATCAGAAACGTGAAGGAAAGAAAAAGAAGAAGAAATAGAAAAGCCGAAGCATATGTCACAGCCCACCAGCAGCCAACATGTACCATGTGAAGCATCAAAGAAGCAAACACCCCGGCCAGAAATGGGCGGGCCAAAAAAGAAAAGCAAGCCCCCTAAAATATCATTTCAGGGCGACTTGCTTATAGCAGGGTTCAAAATTTTTCATTAAAATTTCACGAATTTGGGTAAATTTTGGGTGGTTGAAAGAAAAATCTAAAATTTCAAATTATGCTAATATACATGATTTACTATAAATATATAATTCTAGACTTATATTTTCTATTGTTTATGTTACACATTCTTCTACTCATGTGTAGTCATAAACCATGCTAATATATTTAGATCTAAAATCTTAGAAAACCCATATCTACTATTGTAAGTCTCTAAAAATTTGTTTGTGAAATTCTGATGAAATTTTGTGAATTTTGGTAATTCTGGGTGTGGTCGAGAAATTTCGAGTACCGAAATCGATAACGCTCGACTTGTTGATTCAACAATTTTTACACAAAAATACCGATTCAACATTTTCTTACAATGTGCTGAGTCAGCATTTTGTAATTAAATAAAATTTGCTTTCTTTAGGGTGGTACTATCTAGGAAGAGCATCAACAAGAGCTCCTTAAAATAACTCTCTATTTTCTTTTCGCAGAAAAAAGGCCCTACACCAATTTTATATCTAAACTCTCTAAATATAATTTCTTGGTAAGTATCCCCTCTAACTTGAATCGCTGAGGGGTTTTTTTCTCCCCACAGTTTTAGTTCAAAAAAACCTTCAAGATAAGAACTTGGTAAAGGTCCGCCGTTGTGAGTGCTCGTGGCACACACGGGGCTACTAACGAAAGGTCCCAGTGGCATGGCCCCGGCTGCTCAAGGTCCGATGTCCTGAGGTCCCATGTCTCGGGTCCCCGGCACGAGGCCTAGCGACGCGGGGCCAACGGATCAAGGCCCAGTGGCATGGGCATGTTCGACTGATATTAAAGCCGGCTGATAAGCCGACTGAAGCTGATTTATTGTGAGAAAAAAATATTATAGATTCTAACTGATAAGTTCAAGCGAACAGGCCTCCAGCGGCTTGATGGGGTGGCCCTGGGCACATCTCTGGCTCCCCTAAATCTCCCCTCTACTCTCCTCCTTCCCGCGCCTCACCCTGGCACGACGCGCGAGGGGAGGTGGACAGGGGACTGTGTCTTTTTTCTTCTTCTTTTTTATGAAAATAAAGGAGACCGTGACGTCTAAGAGGGGGATGAATTAGGCAACTTAAAAATCTAACTCTAAACAATGGCCTCTTTTTCTAACCTTAGCAAAACCTATGCAAAAGATAGACTATCTAAATATGCAACTACAGTTTTGCTAGTGTGTTGCTATCTCTACCGCAAAAGGAGTAATATAATCAATGTAAATGTGGGAGCTAAAGAGCAGGGTAGAGATATGCAAACTCCTGTCGATGACTCCGGTATTTTTACCGAGGTATCGAGAAGCGCGCAAGCTTTCCTCTAATCCTCGTTGGAGCTCCTCGCAACGAATCCCTCGCAAAGGCCAAGCTTTCGGTCGGGTAACTCCATGGATAGCCTCGGGCCTTCCCCACGCGCAAGTGTCCAGTCCCGGATGCTCCCCGCCGTCTTCACTATCAAGCTTTCGGTCGAAATGCCGCGGGCCTTGTTCCCTCCGGTACACGGTGGCGGCCACACCACAAATGCGGTTGGTGTGATCTCGCAAGACTACAAGCCCCTCCGATGTACAACAATAGTGCGCGCAAGCACCGAGTGGTAAGAGATATACAAACCTCACTAAACACTAGGCCTAAACCTAGAGCAAGCGCATAAGCGGTGTTCTAATCAACCTAAGCACTTCACAAAGCACCTACGCTAATTACCTAATAAAACACTAAGCACTATACAAGTAGAGATCACTAAAATTGTGTATCAACACCCTAGATATGTTTCCTCAGCTCCACACTCCTCATTTGGTCGGTTGGGGTTGTATTTATAAGCCCCACTGAGAAAGTAGCCATTGGGGACGAAATCCCGCTTTTCTGCTACTGACCGGACGCTAAAGTCGTCCTGATCGGACGCGTCCAGTCGTTCCGACCGTTGGAGCCGCAATCAACTGATCGAACGCTGCCAGCGTCCGGTCACCTGCCACCGGACGCGTCCGGTCGCAGTTTCGCCGCTCTGGAACCTCTCTGTACTCGACCGGACTCTGTTGTCCTGCATCCGGTCGATTTGCCGCTAGTGTCCGGTCGCTGCTGCTGACGCCTGTTGCCGAGCCACTTGATCGGAGCGTCCGGTTGCTTTCCTTCAGCTTCCGGTCCAGCGTCCGGTCACTTCTGTGAGCTCGTTTCTTCGCGATCTTGCGTATGGCTTGGTTCATATCTTCGTGTTTGGACTTTCCTTGATATCTTGGATCTTCTCTTGTGCTTCTAAGGTCATGCTTATGGTGTTGATCATCGGATCATCACGTCGCCTTCGTCCAAGTCACGTCTTGCATCCTATTGAACTACAAAACAATCACTTGCAAATTCATTAGTCCAATTTAGTTGTGTTAGTTATCAAACACCAAAATCCAAAGTAAATGGGCCAAGGGTCCATTTTCCTTACAATCTCCCCCTTTTTGGTGATTGATGACAACACGACCAAAGCAAGCAAATAATAAAATTTTGAAATTTGAAAACTACCTATTTGCTAGGATGCAATGCAAGGGGCAAGTTTATATGATGCTAAAAGATGCTACTTGTAAGACTAAAAGATACTTCATAAAAACTTATCTTGTCCTTGCAAATGTCCCCATGTGGCATTATGGATTTAAGCCTTGCTTCCTACAAATTCTCCCCATTACATAGGCAATCCATAATCCACTATCCTTCATTTCTCGGACCATTACCACTTGTAAATTATTAATGCTTGCTTTTGGTCCTCTAAATCCCCCCTTGAAATCAAACACCGAAAAGGAAGACATTAGTAGCACAAGGGAGGGTCAAACTTTGTGATCCTTTATGTGGAGGGTGGAATAGGTCACAAAATTTGACTCTCACATTATATAGATTAAGCTCCCCATAAATATATGCATACATATGGGAGAAGGCAAAGCATATGCATAAATGGTAAATTATTGCTCAAGTGAATTTAATCTATATAATGCATGGAGAAAGCATATAAATATCAAAATGAAATCAACATGACGATATTGGTTTAGAAATACCACATGTGGAAACCAATTTGATTTCTACCACTTGCAATATGTGGTGGATATTTGAAGTATGATGCTTAACTCCGGGGACTCCATTTTCCTTGCAATGAGACTACTACACACATGATAAGCTTGAAAAGGTGTTAGTCTCAAAGCATCCAACTTGTAGAGTAACCTTCCCTTAAATTTGTGCACACAAGTGTGGGATACTTGTAAAAGTCATGCACATTGATTTTAGAATCAATAATACCACTTGAAAGATGACATCTCATGAATGTGAGAATTATTTTCGAAGATGATATTCAGGAGAAATTATCTACAATTTGGATTTTGGCACATATTAGATGAACAATCAAAAGACAAGCTATGTGCCGTGCTCCTAAACAATTTTAAACCA